TAATTATCATCGTTATCGTCATTATTATTACCATGATTATCATTATTATTATCATTATCGTCGTTATTATTCTCGCCATTATTACTATCATCATCTTCATTATCATCATTATTAATATCGTCATTATTATTATTATCATTATCGTCACTATTATTACCATTATCACTATCGTCATTATCATGGTTATTATCGTCATTATTATTACCATCATTATCATCGTTATCATTCTTATTCTTATTATCGTCGTTATTACCATTATTATTATCGTTGTCATCATTATTGTTGTTGCTGTTGTTATCATCGTTATTATTATTTCCATGATTATTATCATTATTATTGTTGTTATTGTCATCGTTATTACCCTCACTAGCGGTGATGCTGATGACGATAATAGCAATAAGGGTGGCAGCAAGAACGAGGAGCAGGGAAGGCAGGGGCACAGCCTCTCTGAATGAGGGCTCCCCTTATTCTCATTATTTATTATGACCAGTAGCATGGTATTAACAGCATGAGGACAGAAGAACTGTCACCTACTGGGTGGGCCCCTGGGCCCAGGATGCCCAACATGCTGTGCCACACAGGGCAGAGAGAGGAGGCTGAAAGGGAGTGAAGTGGGTATGACCGGGATCTTTTTTTTCACTGTTCCTCGTAAGAACATCAGTGCCATTTGCCGGGGCAGCCATAGATCCATCTTGCCCAAGTCGCCTGTGCCACACAGGGGTGGAGAGTGGAGGCTGAAAGGGAGCACGACCAGGATGTTTTCCCCCTTGTTCCTCTCTCCCGTGCAGCCTCCAGCATTTTCGGCTGCAGGAAGTTGCGATCCAGAGGCTGTGCCCCTAACTTCACTGCTCCTTCTTCTTATTCTTATTATGGTCATCCCCACCATCCTCCTCCTCATTATTATTCCGGCTACTATTACTGGTGGTGGGGTGTTGCTGGTGACGATCGCCACAATAATAATGGCAAGAATGACAATTTACCTGTCCCTTCCCAGGGGGCTGGGACTGTCACATCACTAGTGCTGGAGTTCAAACCCCGACCCCCCGCTGGGTCCCCGCGAGCTGGCTAGGCGGGGCCCCCTCTGCAGGGGCACAACCCACGGAGGGGAGGCAGCAGGCACTTTCTCGCGTGGCCGTGGCTCCTCGCGGTGATGCTCAGGGTAATAAATCACCGGCTGTAATTTACGACCTAATTCCTAGCCTTCGCCAGCCGCTTCAGCAGAAGAGACTGGCTCATTTCCCCGGCTTGGGGAAACCGGCTTGGGGAGTGGTAAAAAAAACACAACAAACCCCAACCAACCCAGGGAATCTCCAGGGGATTTATAAGAAAGCAAATATGAAGTGGATCGTTTATAAACACGGATCTTAAAAAAACCCCAAAACACAGTGATTTTTTCCCCCTCCTCATCGAGTATCCGTTAAATCTCTTTTTTCTTTCTTTTGCTTCTCCCCCGTATCACAAGAACCGGATCGCATCGGGCTTGGATGCCTTCCCCAGCAAGGCTAGGTAGCCCTTAGCAAAGCAAGGCCAGGGTGGAAATACAGCCAGACCCGGGGGGTGGCATGGGTCCCCCCTGCTCTAGCTTCCCTTTACAGTGCTCGTTTTCCTGAAATCGTAGCATCCGAGCCGGTGAGCTGAGGAGGAGGGCTCAGCTTTGCGGCGTTTGATTGTGTTTCAGGTGGTCACAAGAATAACTTTGCCATTTTTTTTACGAGCATCATGATGATGATGATGATGATGATTTTAATTCTCTCTCGCCTCTCCCCCTCTCCACCCCCAGCATATAAATAAATAAATAAATGCAACGGGACGTGCCTTTCACAAGAAAATTGAATCGTATCTCCTTGCAGCCTCGCAGAGCACCCACCATCTGTCATGCGGACAGCAATACAAACCCAGGAACTTAGATATGGACATGCCGGCATGTAATAAAACAATACACCAGGCAGCTACTGAGTAACCTTGGACAGAAATGCCTGGGTGTGGGTGTGTGCATATCTGTGTGTGTCTTTGTACGTATATCTGTGCGTGTATCTCTGTGTGTATATGTGTATTTTTGTGTGTATCTGTGTGTGTCTTTGTGTGTGTATCTGTGTGTGTATCTGTGTATCTGGGTGTATCTGAGATGTGTGTATAGCTCTCTGTTTATCTGTGTGTATCTGTGTGTAACTGTGTGTATCTCTCTCTGTGTATCTGTGTATCTTTGTGTGTGCATCTGTGTGTGTATCTCTACCTGTGTGTGTATCTCAGTGTGTACCTGTGTGTATACCTCTATCTGTATCTTGGTTCATCTGTGTGCGTATCTTTGTGTGTATCTCTGAGTGTGCATCAGTGTGTAATATCTGTGTATTTGAGTGTGTATCAGTGTGGCAAGGTTTGTGTGTTTGTGTGTATATCTATCTGCGTATATACCCATCTGTGAGTGTGTGTGTGTGTGTGTGTGCCTGGATGTATATCTGTGCATACATCTGTGTGTGTATCCGTATGTGTATCTCTATGTGTGTATATTTGTGTGTGTGTCTCTGTGGATATCTTCCTGAATATCTCTGTGGGTGTGCATTTGTGTGCATATCTCTGTGTGTGTATATATATAGCTGTGTGTATATCTATCCGTGTGTATCTGTTTGTGTATCTCTGTGTGTAGATACATCCGTGCGTGTGTGTACCTGTGTGGGTATCTTTGTGCCAATGTGTGTGTGTATATCTATCTGTGTGCATCTGTGTGCGTGTGTCCGGGGTGGAGGGAGTGGGGTGTGCAAAACAAACCCCCAAAACAACCCCCCCAAAAACAACCCCCCGGAAAGGAAGAGCACAAGCGATCCGAGGAGAAGTTGGGGCCGGGGAGAAGAAAACGAGGGCAAGGCAGAAATGCCCCGCAGGCCCGCGGGGCGGGGAGCTGGGGCCGGAGACCCCTCGGACGCCTCGTCCCCGCGGTGCAGGAGGGCGGGCGGGGGAGGAGGGCAGCGGGCAGGGCCGACACATGGGATGGGAAGGGGGTGGCAGGAAAAGCAAGACTAAGAAAGACTAGTGGCCCCGAGCCGCGGGCCCCGCAAGCAGCAGCGAGAGCCCGAGCGGCCGCGATGCGCCCCGGGCCGGCCCCCCGCGCCGGGCACGGGACAAAGTTGCTCTAAAGCTTTGCCCGGCCTGGGCGGAGGGGGGGCTGGAGGGGGCTTGATCGCTCTTTCCCCGTTGGGTGCAGCTTGTGGCGGGGACCCCCTTGCGTGGGCAGCACTAATGATTGCGGATGCCTCATTCCCTCGGAAACCTCCGGGATGATGCAGTCGGGGACGGTCCCGCTCGGAGCGGGGGGTTGGCCTAGAGGAGCTGCCGAGGTCCCGCATTTTCTGTGACATCGAGGAAGTGGCTCCCACCTGCCCAAGAAAGGCGGCTTACCTGGGCGGACTCCTTGCAACAAGCGGCGGCGAAGCCCCCTGGCCCCCACGGCGCCTCTGTGCCCCTTCAAGCCAAGCACATGCGAGAAGAAGGAGAAGGAGAAGGAGAAGGAGAAGGAGAAGGCGAAGCTAAGCGGGCAGCGCGGCGGCGCAGGCGGCTCTCATCCCCCGCCTCGGCCTGGCAGCTCCGGGCGGCGATGCGGGGTGCGGGGCCGGCTCTAGGAAGCGAAGTTACTTAGGCTGGATGCGAAGGACGTGTCTCCATCCCAGGCGGTCCCCGGAGAGGCGAGGAGCGGCGCGGCTGGGCCCGGGGGAAGGGAGCCGTGCTGGACAGCGCTCGGGAGAAATAACAAAAGAGACGCCGAGATCAGACGCGGCCGAGAGCTCCGGCCCCCCGTGCCCCCTGCTCCCCACGACAGAGCCGGGCAGGGGCTGGGGGGCGAGTCCCAGCGCTCGTGGTGCTCCTCGCCTGGCCCCCTCCGAGGTGCCGATGCCACGCAGGGTCTCGGATGCGACGGGGCTCACAAGTGAGGTTTTGTCGGGCACGGATCGGCTTTGTTCGGCGGCTGCCTCCGCTGCTCTCAGGGGCGCACCATGCCGGAGGAGCGCAGCCTTCCCCCCGTCTTCTTGCTGCGCGGGGCTCTCCTTCCTGGCATGGAGAGGTTGGGGGGAGAGAAAGATCGGGCTGAGTTTGGCTTCCCAGTCCTTCAAAACTGGGGTGGGGTGGGGTGGGGGGAAGAATAGACCTCCCCTTTCCTGCGCTCCCACTGCTTCTTTATCTCTAGTATCAAATAATAATAATAATAATATTGCCAGTGGCTGGAAATGCTGCGAGAGATAACAGAGCTGGGAAAGTGGGAGTCCCTTGTAGTGGCAGCGAAGCAGGGGGAGGTGGAGAAGGTGGCAGAGGGGGCTGGACAGACAGAGAGACAAGATGCTCTCCTGGTACCCAAGGATTTCG